GCCTCCCCCCCTCTGCCGCCGCTCCGGCTCTTGGCCCTGCCAAGGCCTAAGCGGTCGCCCCGGGGCACCCGAGATTCAAAGCAAAGAGCCCTGGCGTGTCTGCCAGATTTAATGAGGTTCGCCGAAAGGGCGGCACATGGGCCCTGCTACGCAGGACAGCCCCCAGGTCCTTCCGCCACGAGGGGCTCCGTCCGTCCGTCCGCCCATCCCTGTGGAGAAAGGCCGCAGAGCCAAGGGGCTCATCCCGCCCGGCCCGGCCCGGCCCTTCCCTTCCCAGGACTGCAGATCGGCCTGGGCGCTGGGCTGCCCCCTGGTGGAGGAGATGCGTACTAAAGGGAGGACGTCCGCTGAGGCCCAGCCGCCTGCTTTGCCCGGGCGCCCGGCTGCCCAGCCCTCCTTGGGTCTCCTGGCCGCTGGGCTTGACTCAAAGGGGCCACGTCGGAGCACGCGCAGCCGGGGTCAGGCGCGGTGGGGTCAGAGCAGTGCACGTGGATGGCCCACGGTTGCCCCCTCCGTAGATCTCCTGCATTGGCTCAGGCCGGGCACTGCAGGGAGGGCCGCCAGCCAGCACACGCGGCCAGGGAATGCCCGCTCTGGCCTCCCAAGCGCCCCACCGCCGAACCCTCCGTGTGGCCCCTTTCCTCTCTCGCCGCATCCTAACGGTGGCCTGCTGAGCAGAGTCCCACCCTCTCCTCTCTCTGCTTGGGAAGGGACCGCGCCACCGATGGACAACCCCTGGCCCGAATCCAGCCCGGCGCTCCCGTGGCCCCTCCAGCCGCAAGGAAGCCGGAACGCCATCCCCGGCTGGCCGTCAGAAGGGCAGGGCGTGTGTCTCTGGTCTGGTGGAAGGCTGGCAAGTCTCATTCACAAATAGGAGGACGTTGCTCTCTGTCCCTGGCCCAGCTCCCCAGCGGAGAAGAACGTTTGAAAAAGGCTCACAGGCGGGCAGCCGGGGGCGGGGGAGTCAGAGCACCGGGCTAGCCCTCCTGGTCCCGCTTCCGAAAGAGGTCAGCATCCGTCTACTCAGCAGGACGACCCTTGGTCTGCCGGACGTGGCAGGCTCGGCAAAGGAGGCGGCTGCCGAGAGGGTGACACCCGTCCTCCGTGGGTTCCGGGGACAGCAAGACCTGACACGTCTGTGGGCCAAAAGAGACGCGCGTCAGTGCTGCCGTGTCCCCGGAGGGCTCACCTGCAGCGAGGGGCGCTTTGAAACCCTCATCCCTTTTCCCAACACCACCGCAGGGGAGAAAAAAGCGTGCGCCCCTGGTCACTGAAACCCAGCTTGGGACTCTCCTGAGCAAGAGCCTCCGCAAGGCAGCTTCGGGATGCGTAGTGACTTTTCCCCAAAGCAGGGTCGCGTTTGTCAAACACGGCCAAGACGGTTCCCCTGGCCTTCCAAGGCACCTCCCCAGCCCGGCCCAAGCTTCCCCAGACCTACTTCACACCGATAGCAGTCCTCGTGGAAGCTTCTCCCCAGGCACTCGATCTTGTAGGTGTCCCTCCCGTTGCACGGGATAATGAGCTGCTCGCAGGCCCCGCACACGGACGCAAACTTCCTGGAAGGCAAGCAGGCCCAGACGGCGATTCCCGTTTAACTCGGGGACCTTTCGAACTCCTTGGCCGCCGGGTGGGGGTGCTCAGCGCTTCATCAAGCTGAGGATTTTCGCCTGCTTTCAATATGCCTGCACTCCGTTTCATGCAAAGCACCCCCTCCCCAGAGCAAAACGCCCCCTTGAAGAGGCAGAGAGCCCGCAGCGCCGTACCTGTAGAAGTCTGGAAGGCAATGCACCTTGTTGTCATCGTCCACGGCAAAGGTGTCGCTGCCAATCTCTCGGCCACAGGCCACGCAGGTGAAGCATTCCGGGTGGTATCCCCTCCCCAGGGCCCACACAATCTCGCTGAGGATTAATGCCCGGCAGGCACCGCATTTCTCCAGTGTCTTCTGGGGTGGGGGCAGGGGCAGGGGCAGGGGCA